GGTTTGTACTGCTGGAAACGACTAATTGAAAGAAAAACAAAACAAAACAAAAACCAAAAAAAAAAAAACCAAAAAAAAACCCCCAAAAACAAAACCAAACCAAAACAAAAACAAACAAAAAAAACTCCAAAAAAACCCCCCACCTTTCCCAAGCATTGTCTCCTGATGGAAGCAGGATTTTCCATTGGATTTTCAGGATTTGGCAAGAATGTCTCAAGTAAAGCAGGATAAGTATTTCAGATGTTCAGCCGAAGCTCACTCTGGGAAGGAATCCCAACTTAAAGCCATTCCTTGTGGTCTGTTTTATCTGGAATGATGCTCTGGAACCTTCAGGACAGGGCAGGTCCCATCCAGAATATCTCATGGGAGCAGGAACACTTCAGAATTCCCGGGATAGAGCAGTTTGTCCTCAGCTTTGGCCCTCCCAGATCCGTGGGGATCCAGTGCTGCTGTTTGAAGACTTCTAAAAGCAAACGGAACTGGGAGGAACCATGGGCAGCCCCGGGTGAGATCCCCTCATCCCTCACAATTCCCTGCCCCTGGAAGTGACTGATCCCAAAATCCCGGTGGGAAAAGAGGGATCCAAACAGGAGTCTGGGATGGTGAAGGTTTAGGAGAGGAGAGATGAGGCCCTGTCAGCTGGGATGTGAATCACGGCCGGATAAGAGGGTGATAATTCGGATTTTATTCTAGAGAAATTTCTATTCCAGGATTTTGGATGCTGAAAATGACTTCAGCTCCCTGCAGTGCTTCCAGGTGGAAAGGTTTGCTAATATTCCCGTTTCACCATCTCCTGATTCCAGAGCTCTCCTGGTGGGTGCAGAACTCCCACTGGGCTCTCCCATGGATGTGGGAGCCAAACCAGATCTGGGGGATTCCAGAGCTAAGGACAAAAGGGGAATGGTTTGGAAATACATCCTTTTTTTAATTGAATTCCCTCCCAAATAATATTCCAGCTTTGGAGCCTCCTTTCTCCCTGGCCTTCTTTCCTGGCTGTGTAGGCACCTCTGGGTTTTCCAGCCCCCAATGGGATCATTCTGGTTCCACAGGACTGACATAGGAAAGCACCTTGGATTTCCTTTGTTCCCTTTTCCTCACAGGAATTCCTGCCACCAGGGCTGAGGAATTGTTCTCTGTGCTGGCACAGCCCGGAACTTCCTCAGGAGGTGCTGCCGGAGGGATTTTCATGGATGCACGCCATGGTTTCCTCCATGGATCACCCCAGGTGTTGGATTTTTGGTGTGGGTGAGGGAGACCTGCGGGAAAGCAGCCGCTGAAGGCACCAGGACCTGAGCGGCTCCGGTGCTCCATCGCCATGGAAACGAGATGCACACCGGGCCATGGATACAGGGCGGATTGCAGCCGCAGCTCTGGAACAGCTCCTGGCAGCAGCACCGAGGGGACAGCTGGGAAAAGGTGGGAAAAGGTGGGAAAAAGTGGGGAAAGGTGTTTCCATGGGCAGCCCATCCCAGCATTCCTGGAGGGTGATGCAGCTGAGCTGTGGGATGGAGCAGGAGGATTTTATTGTCCATCGGGGGAGGGCAGGGACAAGGAAAATCCCCGAGGTGATCCCACAGAGAGAATCCCACAGGGTTTAGGCTGGAAAAGCTTCCAAGAACACAGAGTCCAACATTCCCAGCAGTGCCATGTCCCCAGTGCCACATCCACAGGGCCCTGAAATCCCTGCAGGGATGAGGACTCCACCTGAGCACCTTTTCCTGAAGGAATTTCCCCAAAATCCCCCCTGAGCTGCCCTGGGCCAGCCTGAGGCCGTTCCCTCTGCTCCTGTCCCTGTTCCCTGGAGCAGAGCCCGACCCCCCCGGCTGTGCCCTCCTGGCAGGGAATTCCAGAGAGGGAAAAGATCCCTGGGGATCCTCCTGTGCTCCAGGCTGAGCCCCTTCCCAGCTCCCTCAGGGATTCTCCAGCCCCTTCCCAGCTCCCTCAGGAATTCTGCAGCCCCTTCCCAGCTCCCTCAGGGATTCTCCAGCCCCTTCCCAGGCCCAGGTGATCCCTAGAATCCCCCAGGGATCCATGGGAAGGGCAGCAAGGTAATTTTATTAAAGTGACAAAAGCGGGGGGACAAGTGACAAACCTTAAAACCAGCCCAGTTTGGGCCAGTTTAACAAAGCTGGAGATAAAGCCGAGCTTTGCAGCCTTAATCCAAGATTTGGGTTTACTGCAGAACTCAATCCAAACTTGAACATTTATCCAGGGAGACACTGCATGCCCAAAAACGCTTTTATTTCTTTTATTTCTTTAATTTTAATCGAAATATTTACAATTTCCAGGAGAATCCAAGCGGGAATTCAGCAGGAGAGAACACAGACCGGCTGTGCAATCAATCAATCAATCAATCATTGTTAATTACAGTTCTTTTAAATGAGCAGAAGCAAGGGCTGGGTTCAGATGTTCTTTAGTTAATTAAAATAAAGTGAGCACACCATAAAAATGAAACATGAACACGAGGAAGTCCCTAAAATAAAAATGGACAGGTGGCTGTGCTTGTACCTCAATCCGGCCACAAATCGGGAATTCTGCATCCAGCAGGGATGGATTGAAAATCCAACAACCCCCCCAGCACCCAGACTGGTTTTATCACTGCAATAATTCCCTTAATATTTGCCTTTTTTTGGCACGTTTTCATTTAAAAATCAGAATTTTACAGTTAATCAGAATTTTAATTAGAATTTTAATCAGAATATTAATCAGAATTTTAATCCGAACTTGATGTTTTTATTGCATTAAGTGAGGCTCCTTTTCCAGCTTTTGCCCCACTTCCAGGGGGTTTTTGGAGGGTTTTTTCCATCTCCAGCTCTTCTCCCTGGAATGTTTTCCATTTGATTTCCATTTCCATTTGGTCTCCCTGGGGGAACCCAACTTGCATCTGGGCTGCTGTGCCAGAGTCAGGAAATATAATGGAATAAAATGGCATAGGATAGGATATGGAAAAGAGATAAAAATAGAATAGAATAGAATAGAATAGAATAGAATAGAATAGAATAGAATAGAATAGAATTAGAATAGAATAGAATTAGAAAATAAAATCAAAATAGAATTAAAGTTAGAACAGAGTTAATACAGACTAGAACAAAACCAGCTCAGGAATAAGAATAGGAAACAGAATATATTAAGAAGAGAATAAGAATAAAAATAGATCAAGAATAAGAACAGGAAATAGAGTAAGAGATTAGAATAAATTAAAGTAGGATAGAAAATAGAATAAAATAGAACAGAATTAGAATGGAATAGGAATGAAAATAGAGTAAAGAACAAAGGATAGAGTAGTAATGGGTTAAGAGTCATAACAGAATAAAGAAAAAGAATTAGAATAAAATAGAAATAATAAGAATTAGAATAGAATAAGAGGAAGAAAATAAGAATAAGAATAAGAATAAGAATCAAACCAGAATAAGGAAAACAACAGAATTGGGATAGAATAAGAAAAGAATAAGAGTAAGAAAGATCAGGATAAACCACGGGAAGGAACTCTGGGGCTTGTCCAGCATCCTCGGGAGTGCAGTGACAGTCACACGTTGACACTTCCAGGGACACTGGTGGCTGGGCCAGCTCCAGCAGTGCTGGGCTTCCAAGTCCTCCTTCCATGCCAGCATCTATAAAATCCCAATTTTTTCCTCAAAACCCATCAGCCCTGTCATTAATTATCCAGCAAGGCTGGCATGGCTGCAGGGAGCGCCAGGAGCCAGAGGTGCCCATCCAGGGATGCTCCTCTGCCCACAGCCAGGAGCAGCTGGACGTGATCCCAAGGGTTTCACCCATGGCATGGCACTGGGAGCCCTGCTCCTGGTGGGGTGGGTGCCTTTCCCACCCAACCTCTGACAGTGCCACCCATCCCTCCCTCTATCCCAAACCTCCTCCAAAGGGCCAAACACAGCCCAGGGGTCCAGGGGCACCTCAGCCCTTTGGATTTTGGGGAGGTGCTCCAAAACCTCCAGGCCTCATCACAGAGCCCACCCTGCCTTGATCCAGGTGAGCAAAGGAAACCCAAACACAGCCACAGAGCAACCAACCCCAGCACTTCGACATTCCTCCAAGGCTTGGCTCGCTCTGGAGCCCCCAGGGTGACCTGCAGCTCGGAACAAGGACAAACAGGGCTTTCACCACAAAACCACCCAGGAACGAGGCTTGGGAGCAGGGAAATCCAGGCCCAGAGGGACTGGGGGAATTGGGGCTCAGTTTTGGGGGTGCAGTTCTTCCAAGAGAAGAGCCTGCTTGGCACCACGGGCACATTCAGCTTTTTCCATGGTTGGCTGTTTCAGCAACCAGAGAAATCAAGGACATGCTGCTGATTTTCTTCCACATATAAATCACAAAGATTTTATAAAAATGTTACTAATTGTACCTAAAGTGTGAACTTGAGTCATTTATTTATCACTTTTTGCTCCAGGCTTAGAGAACACAAGTTTCTTTTCTAAACAAAGCCTGATGAAACACAGATATTTATTTTTTCTCCCCAGTATTTTTCCTGGTAGCTTTGACACAGGGAACAACTCCCCCCTGCCCCCCCAAAAAAAAAAACAAACCTGAAAGCAAACTAGAAACCAGCAGTGGATTTAAGGCGAGCAGATTCGATGTGAGGGGTGAACTCAAACACCTCCTTGGAGGAAAAAAAACCACATGCAGCAAACAACTTGAGTGAGCAAATCATGACCCACGTCAGGAAAAAAAAAAAAAAACCAAAACCCAAACGCTTTCAACTCGAGTTCCGCTTACCCTGCAAGTTCCCCGCTCCGTGTTGTCCCTACTCCCTCGGGAATGCAGGGGCAGGAAGGCCCCTCTGCGTGTTTTTCGGGGTACAGAGTATAAATACAGAGGAGTCATGCCACGGACTAGATGCAGAGATTGCACACGATTATTGCATGCGCTGGGGTCCTACATGCCGAGGACGCGGCCCTCGCTCAGAATCCCGCGGGACGCTCCCGCCTCCTGGAGCACCGAGCCCACCCTGGCTCCCCCGAGCCCACCCCGGCTCCCCCGAGCCCACCCCGGCTCCTGGGCGGCCCCGAGCCCCCGGCAGCCCCCGCTGCCCTCCTGGCGGTGCCAGCCGCGTTATGTGAAGCGGTCGGAATTCATTTTGCGCAGTTTGGGCGGGAGGTTCCCCTCCATCCTGCCCCCGCCCCCCGAGAGCTTCTGCAGCTTGGGGGGCAGCTCTGCCACCGACTGGCTCATGGGATCCGACATCATCTTCGTGGTCTTGGAGCCCAGTTTCTCCTCGGAGTTGCCGGGCACCGAGCTGATGCGCTGGAGTTTCATGGGCAGATCGCCCATGCTGTAGGCCTTCTCCGAGGTGGTGGAGCTCATCCTGAGCAGTTTTTTTGGGAAGTCGTCCCTCCCGGTGATTTTCTGCAGTTTTGAGGGCAGCTTTGTGCCCACCTCGTCGAGCCCATCCAGGCACTCCACGGAGTTGTTCCTCTCCTTGCTGTTGCTGACGGCGGGCGGGATCAGGGGCGAGGACATGAGGAGCATCTCCTCCTGCTCCTTCACGCTGTAGGGCGGGGTGGGCACCTCGAACGTGGCGTGGAACTGGGAATAATCCACTTTGAAGAACCCTTCCTCCAAGGAGATCACCGGGAAGAAGCGATGGCCCCAGAGCACCTCGTCCTCCGTGTAGGATGTCCTGGCTTGGCACGTCATCCCTGCAAGGAGAAGGGAGGAAAAGATTCCAGCAGTCCCAGGAAATTGGGGATGCACGGAAATCCTTCAGCAATTCCATCAAATGGATTTTAGGGGTTTAAATGTGTTAAAAAAAAAATAAAGAAAAAAAGCATCATTGGCCTGCCCTTGTTTGGAGGAAATGATGCACCAGGGGAGGGTTAGTTGGATATTAAGGAAAATTCCTTCATGGAAAGGGTTGTCCAAGGCAGTGGTGGAGTCCCCATCCCTGGAGGGATTTCAAAGCCCTGTGGATGTGACACCTGGGGGCATGGGCCTGATGGTTGGACTTGATGACTTTAAAGGTCTTTTCCAACCATAAGGATTCCATGATTTTGGGATTCTACAGCTGTGTGGGGGCATGGGCCAGTGGCCTGATGGTTGGACTTGATGACTTTAAAGGTCTTTTCCAACCATAAGGATTCCATGATTTTAGGATTCTACAGCTGTTAAATCGTCATTCCCAAGGGGAAAGGAGCCAACACCAGCAGAAGGGGCAGAACTGAGAAATTCCCACCTACATTTACCTTTTACATTTACCTACAGACCCTTTCTGAAGGTGCTGCTGCCAAAGGGACACCAGGGCTACCTGAGAAACCTGGGACTAAAGCAGCAGGAGCTGTAAGGGCAAGTGGGACTTGTCAGATCCCAAAGCATTCCTTAGTTATTCCACATTTCCCTCCTATCCATGAACGCACACAAAACCAGCCCCTCATCAGCACATTCCAATCCATCAGCAAGTCCTACAAAATACATTTATTCCTCCTCAAAGGCCTCACCAGCAATCTGCTCCCACATGCATCGCTGCCAGCTCCAAAAGATTAACAGGGAATAAAATCCATGACTAAGAGGCACAACACTGCCCTTCCTCTTCCTCCCACTGCGGAGAAAAGTCCCCTCAAGCACCAGACCTGGCCACCTTGGTGACCCCTGGGAATCAGAGGGAGATGATGTTCATGGATTGCTGAAGGCTTCCAGAAGAAATCCTGCTTTTTTTTTTCCATCATTATTATTATTATTACTATTATTTTTAACCACTCTCTGTAGAAATCTGCAAATAGAATTACGCTGCCATTTGCTCCTCACGCAGCCAAGTGGAAATGTGACATTTGGATTTCAGGAAGCTCCATCCACCTCTGCAAACACATCCCCTGCCTGGCTCGCCAGGAGCCAGGAGAAAAGGAAAGGAACTTGGGAAGGCACAGGAAAAACAACAGCAGGGCTGCAGCGGCGGGGAGCGGGACGGAATGTGACACACAGCCAGGAAAATTCCAGTTTATCCCACTTCATGCTACTGCTGATGGAATCAGTGCTGGTTTTGCTGCTGATCACAAGACAAAACTCTGTCTGTATCCAGGGTTTTTAGCACTGGATGCTGCTCCCACTGCCAGGGAGGCCTCAGATCTGCAGGAGCACAGCCGGAGCCATCCCACAGCCTCACCCAGGATGTATTTTGTGCTTCCCAGCGAATTTTCACCCAGACCCCAGGTGCTCCTGTTTATGAAGTGGAGTGGAAGCAATCGTGTTTCTAAAGGGTTTAGGAAAAACCTGCAGTTCTGAGAGAAATGGCAATTTGAGTGAGTTCCTCTTCCAGCTGTGCCCCTCGCTCTGCAGCTGCTCCATCAGCAGATCCCAGAGCTTCCCCTTGTGAGCCTCAGCCCTGACTGGGACCTCCTTAGGGACTGAACGTGGGATTGCACATCTGCATCCCCATCCACATCTGCATCCCCATCCCCATCTGCATCCCCATCCACATCTGCATCCCCATCCACATCCCCATCCACATCTGCATCCCCATCCCCATCTGCATCCCCATCCACATCTGCATCCCCATCCACATCTGCATCCCCATCCACATCTGCATCCCCATCCCAATTCCCATTCACACCTATTTCCATATCCACGTCTGCATTCCCATCCCTGTCAGCATTCCCATCCCATCCACATCTCCAGACACAGATCCATCCACATTCCCATTCCCATCCAAATTCCCATCCCAGTGTGCATCTACGTCCCTGTCAGCATTCCCATCCCCATCCCCTTCTGTGTCTGCATCCACACCCGCATTCCCATCCCCTTCTGCATCCACATCTCCAGACCCAGATCCACCTGTATTCCCATCCCCATCCAAATTCCCATTCAAATTCAAATCCCAGTCCCCATCCTCATCTGCACTGGCATTCCCATGCCCTGTCCCATGTGCATCCCCATTCCCATCCCAGGCAATGCCATGGCAATGTCCCAAGGGCTATTTCCACCTGCTGCCCCATGGTCCTGCCTCTCCCAGCAGGCTTTCCAAGGAGGAATTCTGTACCCACTATTACCATGGATAAATGCATCAGCAGAATCTTGGGAAAATCAGCCACACATTCTGTCTCATTCCCACATCAGCTCACTGGAAAATATTTGCAGGAATATCATTTGTCTTTCAGATCTATTTATCTCCTTCCCAACAAAGCCAAGGGCACAAATTATTTAAGAGCCTCTCAGGGTGAAGAGCAGCAGCCAATATTCCCAACATTCTTGGGAATACGTGTCAGCCAACAGACAGAGCTGAGAGGTGCTGCCATGGCCAGGACGAGAAATGAACTCCCAGCTTTTCTTCCAGCTCTGCTGCGTTTTCCAGCTTTTCCTTTGTGCTCCGTTCTCCCAGCAACGCCTCAGCCCCAGCTCTGAGCTCTCGGTGTTGTTCTGCTGTTCCACACTTGTATTCCAGCAACAACAGAACCCCACGATGGATTGGGTGGGAAGGGATCTTAAAAACCATCCTATCCCTTCTCATCCCATCCCATCCCATCGACAGGGACACTCCCACTGTCCCAGGGGGTTCCAGCCTGGCCTGGGACACTCCAGGGATCCAGGGCAGCCCCAGCTGCTCTGGGAATTCCAGCCCAGCCAGGAATTGCCCATTCCCAATCTCCCACCCATCCCTGCCCTCTGGCAGTGGGAGCCATTCCCTGGCTCCTGTCCCTCCATCCTTGTCCCCAGTCCCTCTCCAGCTCTCCTGGAGCCCCTTCAGGCCCTGCCAGGGGCTCTGAGCTCTGCCTGGAGCCTTCCCTTCTCCAGGGGAACATCCCCAGCTCTCCCAGCCTGGCTCCAGAGCAGAGGGGCTCCATCCTACACCAGGACCTGTGTCCCCACCACACCTCCTAGAAAGCAGCAAACCCCAAACCCGTGAGCATTTCCATGTTTTCCCACAAAAAGAGCAGGATCAGTTGCACGCTCCCCACCTCTGCCAGCCCTTCTGATAACCACCCCAGGATTATTTTCCATGAATTTTGCTCATGGATATCCCTTCTCCTGGCTCCCAGTTTGCCATTCCTGCTGTTGGCACAGCAGGGTTTTCATTTTCTGAGCTGTTCCCCCCAGCAGGACCCGCAGCCCGCGCTGCTCTGAGCCTCCACCCCCATCACGGGCCTGCTCCCACCTTCCCGAGTCCTCCCCACAATTAATATCCATTTGCAGGATAAATTCCCAGCTCCAGCTTGGGAGCAAACAAGCTGCCTGCAGTGGAATTGTTTATTATGGAATTAAGCAGCCGTTTGTCAAAGGAGGCTTTGGAACGTTTTGTTCCCTGCTCCCAGCTCAGCCCCTCTCACCGAGGGCTCCGCGAGCTGGGAACCAGCAAAGCTCTGCCTGCACACAAATCCCACCTGAGCAGGTACAACAGTTCCAGCAGAAATCCCCCAAAATATCCAGTAAAACCCCTCTCCATCGCTTCAAAACCAGGGAATGCTTTGTGTGCATATGGGGAACCCAGAGGAGCTGGGGCTGCCCCATCCCTAAAAGTGTCCAAGGCCACTTGGATCAACCTGGGGTGGTGGAAGGTGTCCCAACCATCCAATTAAGGATGATCCTTAATCTCCCTCCCAATCCAAGCCATTCCATGACTCTGTGACTCGCTGTCAGCCCAGCTCAGAGCTGCATTCCCGGATTAATGAGGGGGCAGATGGAGGCCAAAAAAAAAAAAAAAAAAAGCCGTAAATAAACGCTTTGACTAATTCCAACCTCTAATAATCCTCCAATTACTTCCAAATTTCCAAAGGGCCCAGATGGAGCTGGCTGTTTTCTAGAGCTCGTCACAAATTGCCTTGAAAAGAATGCCAGCCCTGTTATTTATCCCGTTTGATTCCCGAGGCTGGCCGCTGCCTGGGAAATCACGGATCATTAATCAGCTTTTAACAGCCCCCCCTGCCCTGGGAGAGGCCTCAGAAGCAATTCTGGAACCCAAAGGTTCCCTGGCTCTCTCCCTCTCCAAAGGAATGCCAGAAGTGTCACCTTCAGCTGTTGGAATGCAGTTTGCTGGACACAGGGACAATTCCCAATGGGGAAAAGTTCACCTTCATCAGTGGGAAAGAGGGAATTAATTGGGAATTGCAGCGACTCAGCAGCACGGGGTCCCAACAGCCACAAAAAGGGCATCTCTGTGTCCTAGCACTGGGAGGAAGAGGCATCTCCAGCAGGAATTCCTGGCCAAAAGGCACAAACATCCTTCTTTTTGCCAGGTTTTTACCTTTTTCCTTAGGAAGAGCTCCTGCCCTGCAGGAAAAACGCCCGGAGCTGAGCCAGGGGCTCCTCCCTGTGCATGCTGGGGGGATGATCTGCCTTAAACCTGCAGCTTACCTGTAAAACCTCCAAAACACCGGTGAAAAATTAATCACACAGCAAAGTTTGATGAATTTCTGACAACTGAGCTAATTCAGAACTGTAATTTAAGGCCCGTGAAGGGAAGAGGAAAGCCTGGCTGGGACTTGATACAAAGACATACAACTCTGCTCTTGTAGGGCTGAGGGAGGACTTGCTCCTGCAGGGAAAAGGATTCCCACAGCAACCTCTCCTCTCCCAGGAGTGCAGGGGAAATGATGGAATCTTGGGATGGTTTGGGGCAGAGGGGAAGTCAAGGATCAGCCCTGCCACGGGCAGGGACACCATCCCAGGCTGCTCCAAGCCCCATCCTGGGATGGTTCCAGGGATCCAGGGGCAG